GCCTCGTACCACAAGTCGAGCCAGTTGTCATCAACAATGCCCCGTCCCGGCGCCACGAATCGAATGGGCTGTCCAGCGAAGAATTTCGAGTTAACTGTCTTGTAGACCTCACACGTGTACTCCAGGAAAAGCCTTTCGCCCCCCTCTCCGTACTCCACTTGGAAACTAGAGGCATGCTGGAAGTCTGACCACCTCGATCGCATGTAACTGCAGCACAAAGTAGCCCCAGCAAAGACCCGATCCCATGCCGGTACAGTTAGGTCCCGCAGCATCGCGTGCAGCAATCGAAGATTCTTGACAGTGAGCGGGTCGGCCCTCTTCCGAGCACGCCTTTTTTGTCCACGAAGAGACACACCCAAGCATCTCCTGCTGCTGATCACTGCATCAAGCTCCGGAATGGTGAACATATGTCTGGCAAAGATAATGGCCTCTCTTAAAGCTCGCATTTGCGAAGGTTTTGCTCCCCCTGATCTGGCGGCACTCATGTACTCATAAACTTTGGCTTCCTTGTACGGAAAAACATCCTCAGACCAACCGGCACTCTTATGGTAGCGGAGCAAAGAGTTGACACGCTTGAGAAGAGTTCCAGGGGCCTTCGGATGCAGCCAGTCCTTGAGGACGTCCGTCCTTTCGTCGATCGTGTCACAATCGAGCAGGCTCCGGCACACCAATAAATCAGGGCTCACTTCGGACCACTTGATTATCACAAAAGACCATCGAGCAATAGCCCTATCGAAGTCGCGATCACGTTGCTCTTCCCAAGAAATCCCAGGACCCTTCCGAACCACAGAGAAGCATATCCCTGGCAGCATCCCAGACTCCTCAACTCTCCGCTTCTTCTCAGAAGGAGGCAGGATCTCACCTGCATCATCTGGTATCGGCAGTTGAGGCAAGTCGAAGGAATCGTTCCAGCTCACAGCTTCCTCTGATTCAAAAATCTGCTTGAAGACACCAGACTCCCAAGGCAACAAGTTGCCCTGTGTTAGCGTCTCAGAGNNGAACCCAGCAGACTGTCAAAATCGAACCGAGGGCACCCGTTCTGACCCCCATGAGAAGTGCCCGCATTCTGAGTCATCAAGCCTCCGAGGTCAGGACACCAAAGTGGTTCCCGGCGCGTCGGGGCTCGGCGACAGCAGCAGCAGGGCCTAGTCAAGCGAGTGTAGGTCAACCACTCG